TGACTTTAAAGCTGGATCCGCCCCTGCTGTACAATGCCAATACATCGTGCTATTACGATCTTTAATTGCACAAGAAATTGTGCCGGATTTTTTGTGAAAATTGCATGTTGGGATGCGATAAGAAAGTGACGATAAGCTATGAAGGCACAGCTTACTGGCGTCTGAAAATCTGATATTCAAAATGTATTTTCGGCTCCTTCAACATGTTCCGAGTGGCATTAATTTTGAAAAAATGAAACGGAATCACTGAAATTGAATCCCAGTGTTCACTGATTTCTGTATGGGTGCAAGCATAGAGAAAGGAAAATAATTAAATTAATTTTATTTTACTTACTCTATGGGTGCAAGCCTTTTACAGTGAGGACGCGTTGACGATCAAAAAGTGAAACCGTTTACCTGGCGCCCTTATCTCCAGATCTGGGACCCCGATATATTTCAAAAATATTATAACAAAAGGCAGAAGGCGTTTGTCATATTTTTTACGGTTTTCATAATTCACTGCGTGTCTGGGTGCCCTGTTAGGTGTTTTGAATAACTTTGAATAATTTTATAACAGGATCGCGTTGTATTCCTTTTCGACTGTTTTTCTTGTTGTGTTTGGGGCATTATAATACGTATGATAATCGAGCCTAGTTTATAAATCTTGACCGGCATTGTTCGATTAGAGTTATTGGGTTTTTCGGTCGGAGGGAATTTATTGTTTTCGGATTAATAATAAAGTTGTCTTAATAAGTGGTCTTGCAGTCGTTTCAAAGGGCACGATCAAAACCAGATAGTAATTAACTCTATCATTAACGTTGCAGCGTGTAAGTCAATTAGTCATTAATTTCTGGAATTGCTTTGTCGGCGCATCAACATGGATTTTCAATTCCAAATCTCATTTGTTATCACAGAGCTCACAATGCAAAATCATTTAAAGCAATTCCATTATGCAGCCTAATGTATTTCTTTTTTGTTGGAGCGCGATGGCGTGAATTATTTTCCATCTCTGCCCAAAGCACAAGAGCGAAGATGAATTGTTCTCAACAGATTTCGCAGAGAACTGGATACAGCCGGACGCGAGATTTACTTAGGACTTTAAACGAGCAACATTGTTAAAGAACAATTTTTAAAAATATGTCTATCCGAAACTACAACGGTTGTTACATTTTTCAAAACATCCGTTTATGTATTAAGCCTGTGTCCCATGCATCCGTTTATACGATGATACGATGATACGAAAGTGTTTCTATTGGTTGGAGATCTGTCAATTCGTCCTCCGTTCGTAAGACGGCGGACTTCGTAATAGTCTAAAGTCTATCAAATTATAGAAAAGGCGAAAACATTTACTGAGTTGAGTAAGTTTTTCTTCCGGAGTGAATCTAAGAAATTGATTTCGAATGTTTTATGGTGATGCCCCAACCGAGCAGCCGTCCCAAGTTCATGTAGTAAGTAGTCGATTTGTACAAAACTTCAATCTTGCCAGTGGGAACTGTGGACGTGTGTGACCTATTTTATATTTTTTGTTTGTATTTCTTTTTTTACATGTCTATTAAAATAAAATTTACTTGTGTATATAGGATTAAGATTTATAAAGACATATATTATATTACGCTTCAAAATAATACGGACATTTTAAGAGTGTTACTGATACCGTGCTGGCGCATGGACGATGAACGACACGTTATATAATACAGTTTATATTCTGGATATCAGATTAATATAAACGTTTGCATATATGTATATATGTAATTTGCGGGGTTTCAGAATATAATAGATGTTTTCGAGTTTAGGACTTGCTCATGTAAAAATGAGAACTAGATACATGTAGATATTTCGCTAAACTAATAAAATATTTAATAATCATTGAGTTTATTGTACACTTCAACTGCCTTTGTCACCAGTTGTTCGAACGAGCTGAAACGCGAATCGCTGTGCAGGCTCTGAAGTCTCGCTCGTATTACGGGCGTCAGCCGAGCTCTTTCTATAATCAGCAGGAGACCAACGGTGAAAATCGAAAACAGAAGAACGGAACCTAAACAAAATATTTGGTAATTTAGCATTCAAGAGCATACCGGAATTGGAACTAAAAATACGACTTCAATCGCTTTTCATTCGCTCGATTTTGGAAGTTAT